TCTGGAGGCTTCTGGCCCAGACAGGCTGACAGCAGAAGGGACCGACATCTTGGCTTCTTCCAAATCCACATGGAGGCTGTGGCGCAAAGACCCGAAGCTGCCCACACCAGAGCCGGGACCCGAGCCCAGGTGCGTGTGATGCAAGCTCTCAGTCCTGGAAGGGGTTGCAGCTGAGGTCACTGAGGTCATCTCCTCTTCTCCTTCTTCTTTTGTGTCTAACAAAACATCCTATTGAAAATACCAGCCCATCTAGACAGGACTTGGGCTGAAGATTTAAGACAGTATCCACACAACAGGGACTGTCGAAGCCCATGCTTGTTAAGAAAAGCAAAAAACCTCAGGGAAGCGGGTGGGGTCATTTTTTCCACTGTCCCTCCTCCCTCCGAGATACTCATTTTTGGGGTCTCTGCTTAGCAAGGAAGACCTACATATTTTGTCATCCAAAGGTGGGTTTTCACTATAGTGCTTCAAAACAGTTTAAGACTGACGGTGGACAAAACTGAGCCTTTACGGGGGTGTCCCTGACCTTGGATCCCCACCTTGGAGAGGCCACACAAGCCAGTGGACGAGGCGTGAGGCTGGGATTCAAAGAGGAAGAGGTTCAGAAGATTCCAGCTCCTTTACCTACTAGCTCAGCCTCTCTGGGAAGGGGTTAACCTCCCTACACTTCAGTTTCCTCGGTTACAGAATGGGAGTAAGAACAACAGTACTTCTGCCATGCTGGCTGGAGACAAAGAAGGTGAAACGTCTCACCCATGCAGGCACGCGGAGCATTCTCCACAAATGTGGGTCTGATCATTAGGTGTCTCTCATCCCAATGAGGGTGCCAATGCTTAGGCTCTTGCATGGGACTCCGCCTCTGAGGAAGTATAAGTATTCTCTCTATGGACAAGGTACATGGAGTGTTAGGCAAACATGCACAGCTGTCACATCCAGTAGAATCCATGACTCTGCCCGACTGGAGTTACATAGCCACCCCTCTCTCCCGGCTGCCTTCCTCCAGAGGCTCAGAACACAAGGGGATCTCCCAGAGAACACGCCACTCATGTTCTGACAGTAAACACTGATCAAGACCCTCCCCGGAGTACCCAGAGCAGCCCAGGGATTTCCCCGATGGGGGGACCAGCCCAGGAGGACCTGGAGTGCTTCCTGGACTGAGCCAGGGCACGGCCAAATGCTCACCACACACCTGCGAACGCTGGACGCCTCCCGCCAGCCCCTCAAGTCCACCCCACCCCTACCTCCTGCCGACTGTCACCCTGAAGACAACGCTTAAATCTGCCCCCTCCACAACCATCAGCCTCATCCAGTCTCACGCCTGGAGTACTCCAAAGACCTCATAATTGGTCTCCCCAGTGGACGGGGCAGGGCCAGTGGGGTCCCAGTACCAGACCCCAAGAGCTGATGGCCAATATCTAGGAATTTGGAGAGAAAGGTGGTCAAGTCACCAGTGGTGTGAAATAAGCCAGGTGGGAGTTGTTACCCCGTAGAAGTCAGGGCGTTTATGGGGGGAGAGCTGACTGCCCCACCCAGCACTGCCTGGGCCCCTTCCCATGTGTCCCCCCCGACCCAAAGCGGCGCCCACCGTCTGCACATCATCCTCCTTTGCCCCCGGCTTCCCCTCAGCCCACCTGCTCACACCTGCTGGCCAGGACCCACCCTCGGCAGGGGCTCGGAACAGGCCACCCCTCAGCCTGGACCCTCTTCCCACCCTCCCCACCGGGCCAGCGCCCACCAACCCTGGGGTTGCTTCTTCCTCCTGCCGGGCGATGCCCCCCAGGGCAGCCTTCCCGACCCCCAGACCCGGCCCCCGGTGTAAGGTCTCACTGCCCTGGGGTCCCTCTCCCGGGTCACGATGACCATAGTTGGGAGCTTACGTTTATAATGCTTGATTAATGGTGCTTTCCTTTTTCCAAAAAAGGCCTTCATCAAACAGTGGCTGACTCTTGTGCACCCAATACATGCACAACATAGAGTTTCCGTGAGGGAACTGAAAGCGGCCCAAAGGCAGACAGGGTCCGGGCTGACGGGAGCCCTCCTCCGCAGACGCACCGGCCGCGCGGGAGGCTGAGGAGCCCCGGGAGAACCAACCCCCGACCGGCGGGGGGCCTCTGGCTGACCTGCTGGAGCCCGGAGGGGGCAGGCAGGGAGGGCAGGGGCCCCAGACGGCAGGAGAAGAGCTCGGCTTTCAGTTCGTTTTTTTTTTAAATAAGGTTTTTGAGCAGGAGAAGAAACTTGAAATAGAAGACACACACACACTCTCTCTCTCGGGCTCGCAGCTATAAAGCCAGAAACAGCCTCCATCTAACAACCATACCCCAAGCCCAGAGAGCCCACGAGGGCCCTCGGGGGTGGAGATGGCAGACAGTGGCCCACCTGAGATGTGGCTGCCTCGGACGCGGGCTGGAGCCGAGACTCTGAAGGCCCCGGCCCGTCTGAAAGCACCCGGCTCGGGTCTGTGTGGGGCTGAGGAAGGAGCTGAGCTCCGGGAGTTGGTGATGGACAGGGAGGCCCAGCGTGCTGCAGTCCACTGGGTCACAAAGAGTCAGACACGATGGAGAGAACTGAACTGAGGAAGGAGCTAGCTCTTCTGCTCTGATGCCAGGGCTCTGGCTGCACTCCCCCACCCCCCCTGCCCCCCAGCCATGGGGTTTGCTGGAATCGGGAGTTTCCCGGGTGACTGTGAGAACTACCATCTGCGGGACTGTCCTCTGGCCCCTACGTTCCTCCAGGGGCTGCTCCACCCGTTCAGAGTTCCACGTCTTCCAGCTGATAGGGGAGGGTGGGGGTCTGAGATGACCTCTGCTGTGACTGGCCAGAGGCCGGCATGACTCTTCCTGCTGGCTGCAGCCAGGCTCCTGGGAATCCGTGTTAAATCCGCCATCTCTTCAAGTCCAGAAAGATGCTAGAGGCCCTTGATTAAAAAGTGGGTACCTTCCCTCAAGGGCTTCAGCGTGTCTGAATTTTGGGTCAAGAAGCTAGTATTAGCTATAGGGTGAGTGAGGGTTCCCCCGAGCAGAGATCTGCAAACTGGGTATAGGCAGGGGTTACTCAAGACAGGAATCCAAAAAAACATACACAGGAAATGAAGCTTTCCTGCTATTAACTGTGCAGCACCCGGCTCAGAGCATGTCAGGTCCCGTGTCACTTCCAACACTCGGGGGATCCCAAGGACAACGGGCCTTCCACCAGCAGGGGCGGACAGGGGCAGGTGGGGACACGCCGGAGGTTCCAAGTGCCCCACTTATGGAGAAATATGGAGAGTATCATCCGATTTTACTAAGTTCAGTTCAGCTGCTCAGTCGTGTCCTACTCTTTGCAACCCCATGGACTGCAACATGCCAGGGTTCCCTATCCATCACCAACTCCCAGAGTTTACTCAAACTCATGTACATTGAGTCGGTGATGCCATCCAACCATCTCATCCTCTGGCAACCCCTTCTCCTCCTGCCTTCAATCTTTCCCAGCATCAGGGTCTTTTCAAATGAGTCAGTTCTTTGCATCAGGTGGCCAAAGTATTGGAGTTTCAGCTTTAGGATCGGTCCTAAATATTAAGGACTGATCTCCTTTAGGATGGACTGGTTGGATTTCCTTGCAGTCCAAGTGTCTCTCAAGAGTTCTCCAATACCCAGTTCAAAAGCATCAATTCTTCGGCACTCAGCTTTCTTTATGGTCCAACTCTCACATCCATACATGGCTACTGGAAAAACCATAGCTTTGACTAGATGGACCTTTGTTGGCAAACTAATGTCTCTGCTTTTTAATATGCTGCCTGAAGTGAAGTGAAGTCGCTAAGCCGTGTCCGACTCTTTGCGACCCCAGGGACTGTAGCCTACCAGGATCCTCGGTCCATGGGATTTTCCAGGCAAGAATACTGGAGTGGGTTGCCATTTCCTT